TTGGGCTTGGGCGTTCGAGAGCTTGTACGCCGCCGACTTGAGGCGCGGCAGGATCTGGCTGGTCATCGCCGCCAGCGCAGGCTCGTCCTCGTCCAGCGGGCGGCCACTGGGCAGCGCGACGAGACGGAACAAGTACTGCAGCGGCTGCGCCAGCGCCATGTCGTCCAGTAGCGACGGCAGCGACCTGGCCTTCTGCAGTGCGAGGTGCTTGAGCGGGTCGTCCTTGCGCGCGTGCGAGATGAGATCCAAGCTGTACGCGCGCCACTCGTCCATGATCGTCGGGCCGCGATGCGAGCTGCACACCGTGTGCCGCACGCTCTCCATCCAGCTCAGCGCATGCTGCAGCCTCGGTGCTAGTGCGCCAAGCTGCTCGTTCAGCGCGATGGCCGCGCTGTCGACCGCCGACACGGTTGTCTGCAGCCGCGGCGCCTTGCACACACTCGCGAGCGTCGGGAGACCGTCGAGCGTACCGTACTGAAGCGTTCGCGGCGGCAGCGAAACGCCAGCGTCGTGCTGCTCGATTTCGTCCGAGCAGCGGCCCATGAACGCCTCCAGACGCTCCGTCGCGCGTGCAAAGGCGCGCGTCTTGTCCTCGTCGTCGTCGTCGTCGAGGGTCGTCGCGGCGAGCGTGTCCTGCAGCGCGTCCATTTCCGCGTCGGCAGTCGCGAGCTGCGCCGTCGTCTCGGCCACTTCGCGCGCGAGCGACGCGACCTTGTCGGCCAATGCCACAAGCGGACGCGCGAGCGATAGGAGCCGCGTGAACGTCGGCGCTGTCCACGCCCGTTGGATTTGCTCCCAGACCGCGCTCGTCTCAGCGCCGCGCTCGTGGGCTCGCGACGCGAAGAGCGACAGCTGCACGTTCATCTCCATGCGCCAGAGTTTCGCCGGCCCGTCCTTCCAGTCGAGAAGCGGGTCGTAAACAAACGCTTCGAGGAGCGTCAAGATCGACTCCTTGGTCGCAGAGTCGTCGCGTGCCACCGACAAGGTGCGCTCCATGGCGATGCGGAACGTGCCTTCAATGCCCGTGGCACCGAGGGCACCGAGGAGCATCGTCGTGAGGCGGAAGGGCACGACTTCGGGGACCTTGAGCTTCCGGCCCTTCTCAAAACAGACGTTGTAGTCGATGTGCACGACGTCTCCGGTCGCGTTGCAGAGCAAAATGTTGTCCAAGTGGCGGTCGCCGAGCCCAATGAGATACCCAATCACCGACATGACGGCAACCGACCGCGCAAAGCGCGTCGACTTGCGCTGAAACTCGTCGATGGACGAAGAGGTCGCGAGCATCTCTTGCCGCAGCGCGTTTGGCCGGCGCTTCGTTTCATGGACCAAGGCCTCGTACGCCTGCTGCAGCACGGCGTGGGACCACGTTGGCCGGCCACTGGGACTCGCATCTTTGACGCCGAGGGCTTTCAACGCTGCGTAAAACGGTGCAGTGGGCGACGACGACGACGATGCGGCTGCTGCGGATGATGCTGATGACGACGGGGGCGTGTGCAGCTGGAAGAGCGGCGTGACGTTGGGCACCATCTGGATCAAGCCGGCGTCGTTGGCAAGCGGAACGACGCTGTAGTGGCGCGCGCCGAGGTCCATCGACCGCGCGTCCTTGTCGGCGCTCAAGCTCGAATTGATCGTCGCAAGGAGCTGCATGATGCGCTCGTCCAAATGCAGATCCTCGCGCGACTTGAGCAGATACTGGTACGACGCGCCGTCCGTGCCATGCAGCACGAGTGTCTTGGGCCGCGTCTTGGTCGCCAGCACATGCGCCGTCGGGTCGATGCGTGCAATGTCCACCAGAGCATTCGCAGTTCCTGGCATGGGCACACCGGCTCGGAGGCTCGCGAGTCGCGGCGAAATCTCGGCCAACGGCAGCGAGAGGCGGCGTTGATGCGGCTGGAGACGCTTGAGAAGGTCGTGGAAGGGCGCCCACGCACGCGGCAGGAGCGCGTCTCCAGAAGCGTCGCACGAGGCGCGGAGCCGTTCGAGTGCCGCCTCGAACGCCGGGCCAAAGTGCAGCACAAACCATCGCTCGTGCGGCGTCGTCGGCGGGCGCTGCCACGTCTCGGCGCTCAGCGACTCGAGGGCCGAGAGCACGGGCTTGAGGATCGCGACGTACGTTTGCTGCCCGAGGCGCTGCTTGTCCTCGACCGAGAGCGAGCTGTTTTTTCGATCCGCGCCGCTTCCTTCTCGAGTGTGTGGCCGCGTCGGGTCACGTCCGTCGTCAGTTTGGTCAAGAGGCTCACCCATGCGTCTTCATAGAGCAAGGCGACGCGGCGGAGCTCCTTGACGACTTCGGTGACACCTGCGACGAGATCCGCATCCAGCAGCGACGTGCTCTCGACCGACTCGACGACCGCGGGGTAGACCATGAGCTGCGGACGCTGCGACGCGAGCCGACGGAGAATGCACGTGAGCCGCGCCACAACGGTTGCATTCGGGTGCTTGAGCCGCGAGAGCAGCTGCGGCACGATGCGCTCCCATGGAGTGATGGGCGACGACTCAACGCCGTCGTCCAGCGCCGCTTGCAACGAAGGTTCGTGGCCCCAGCGCACGAGAAACACGAGCAGCCGCAGCGTGACAATGAGCCCGTGCGACTGGATCGACGCCGGCGACGCCGTGTGGAGATATGTAAAGTACCCGTGGATCGCCGCCTTGTGCGACGTGAGCGCCCGCGCCCGCACGCGCTGGTACAGCGCGTGCAGCTGGTTGAGTGCCGCCGAGTCGGGCAGGGACTCGCAGCACGTGGCAAACGAAATGCGATCGTCGTCGTCGTCTTGGGTCATGTGCATGAGGCTGGCGCGCAACGCGTGTGCATGCGGGACGAGCGCCGCATCGGCCAAGAGCGTCTCCAGCGCCATGGCGTCGTCCGAAGCGAGCGCCATGCTGGCGGTGGTACTCGCCGCAAACCAATAGTCGCTCCACGCGAGCCAGCTCTGGTACGACGTTGGCGCCACTTGTGTCGCCGCCGCCAAGCTCGCTTCGATCTGGGCCGTGGCGTCGCCGCCGACCACGGCAGCGCGCATGGCCTCGTCCTCCCCACGCCACGCGTCTTTGTCTTGGAGCCAGGACGCGATCTTCCGGTGCGCCTTGACGTGCACCTCATGGGCGTCTGGCGTGACCGGGAAGAGCCGGCGCACCGCGTTGGCCGGCGCACCGCACGCAAAGTCGAGGCACGCGCGCTCGTACTGCACGACGGCTGCCTTTGCCGGCACGTCGGCGAGCTGCGCCAGAAGCGACGCCGCCAGTCCGATATTGCCTTGCTTGCGCGCCAGCCGCACCATCTGGAGCTGCACGTCGCATTGGTCGAGGCCCAAGTAGCGCGAGACGTCCAGCAACGGAAGGTACACACTTGCATCGCGCTCGTACGCGCCGAGACGCGGGACTGCGTCGGCCGGCCGCCGCAGCATCTCGAGGCACTTGACGTGGACCAGTGTCGCTTCGAGGCGCTGGCTCACGTGCGCCCCTTTGACGGACGCGACCGCGTGTTCATCCAACGTAAAGAGCTTGAGTTGTCGTGCGAGACGCGCTGCGTGGCCGTCGAGACACACGTCGGCCAAGGACGGCGCCAGCGACACTCGAGCGAGCGCATCGTCGACGACACTCAAGACGGTCCACTCCTGCAACGGTGGCAGTGTCGTCGGGAGGCTGCTGAAGCGGAGACTCGGGTTCGTCTTGGTGCGGACGAGCGCGTGTTCCAAGTCCCACGACGCGGCCAGCGACGTCATGTCGGTCGCAACACGCAGCGTATCCTCCGTGCAGCCTTGGAGATGGCCGAGAAACATCGCCAAGTCCAGCGCTTTGCCCATGAGCGCACTCACCGATGGCCACGCGTGGACGTTGGCGTAGCACTTGGCCCAGCGCACGAGCAGCGACGCCAGCGACACGTGCTCCAGGCCTGCCTCGGCGAGCGTCGTGTGCAGCGATCGGAGCGTTGCTTGCTTGACCGCCTCGGACTCGAACGCGAGGTGCATCCCCGAGGCATGGCGCTCCGAGAGCGCGAAAAGCGGCGCCAACAAGTGCTCGTAGCTCGCCGCCGCGGCTTCGTACAGCAGCTGGGCTTCTTGGACGATCGCATGCAGCCAGGGCACGTGCAGCGTGTGCGCCGTCGCGTAGGCGCCAAACCCGACCAAGGACGGAACGTCGAGGACGTCACAGAGCGCCGTCGCGGCCGAGAAGAGCGCGGCGGCCGACGGTTTGCGCACCAACGAGAGCGCGTGGTAGGCCATGAGCGACGTCGCGCCGGTCGCGTCACAGAGGCGGACGAGGGCCGGCCGGATCCGGAGCAGCCAGTCTTCGCACACCTTACGGTTGGTCGCGTAGAACGCGTGCGCCTTTGCATCCATGAGGATATGGCGGCGGGGATGGCACGCGTGCAGAATCGCGAGCTCGAGCGCATGCACAAACTCGACCAAGAGACGACCGGCGACGCCACTGCGTTGGACGAGAAGCCGCTCCAAGGCGGCAAAGGTCTGGCCGGCGTTGCCGTAGTGCGTGCGCAGCCGCGCCTCGACGCACCACGTCGCCGCGGCCCAGAGCTGGTCGCGAACTTCCAGCAGCGGTGTGGCCAACAAAGTTTCCTCGGACGTCTCAAGGAGGGCGAGGAGCGACGCAAAGCTCGTCACCGTGCACGCCGCCGTAATCGTCGGGGCGCGGTACAGGCGAGGCACGACGTATGCGGGCCGCGGCAGCAGCACCGCATGGCCCACAAGCGCCAGCGCCGGCGTCGACACGATCGCTGCCGGGTCAAAGAGGCTCGCGAGGCCAACATCGAGGAGCGTCGGCGCTTCGAACGCGACGAGGCAGCGCAACGCAAACGCGCGCACCTCCGGCGTGCGGTGCCGTGCGAGGGCGTCAAACGGGCTCAGCAGCGCGCCACTTAGCGGCAGCGCGCTCGGAAGGTGCGCGAGCAGGTACAGAAACAGCTGAAACACCGGGGCGTGCGCGTACGACGTTACGTGTGTCGCGAGCGTCGAGAGCAACGGTGCGCTCTCCATCGAATGCGACGAGTGCGGGAGGAGGCGGCGCAGCACGTGGATCGTGCCCATGTACAAGGGCGCGGTGGAGGGCCACTTGTCGAGGGCCTTGGCGAGACGCGAGCAGATACCGTCGAGGCAGCTCTGGTCCTGACTGCTGCTCATAGGGATCGCGGCGATGCCAAGCACCATGATGCAAAACATGGCGTACGTCACGTCCCGACTCGCCCCGATTGCGTCGAGGCTGTAGACCTACATATATCCATGTTTCAATGTGTCAATGTTTCAACCGACACGGATTTAGAGCGCGGACCTCGAGGATCGAGACGCCACCGACGCGCGCGAGGGCCGTGGCGAGACGCGTCGCGCGCGGCAACAAGCTCGGGAGATGCACGAGGTGACACAGCGGCGTCAGCGGATGCGTCACCGTCGTCGTCGTCGTCGTCGCCGTCGTCTTGGCACCGTACGGCATGGGCAGGTCGGTGGGGATGCGCCGGGTGAGCACACGCAGCGCGGCGATGGGCTGGATCGGCAGCGGTGACAGAAGCGCGTCGACGGCATCGAGCACGGACGCGACTTGATTGGTCGACGCCAAGTGCCGCTCGCTGAGCGCACACGTGTGCAG